GGCATTAGAGCGTAAGCTCCTCTGGTACAGAGACTGATGTGACTGTGGGGGAGGGGACATTAGAGTGTAAGCTCCTCCTCTGTACAGAGACTGATGAGACTGTGGGGGAGGGGACATTAGAGTGTAAGCTCCTCTGGTACAGAGACTGATGTGACTGTGGGGGAGGGGGAACATTAGAGTGTAAGCTCCTCTGGTACAGAGACTGATGTGACTGTGGGGGAGGGGACATTAGAGTGTAAGCTCCTCCTGGTACAGAGACTGATGTGACTGTGGGGGAGGGGGACATTAGAGTGTAAGCTCCTCTGGTACAGAGACTGATGTGACTGTGGGGGAGGGGGACATTAGAGTGTAAGCTCCTCTGTACAGAGACTGATGGGACTGTGGGGGAGGGGACATTGGAGCGTAAGCTCCTCTGGTACAGAGACTGATGGGACCGGCTCAGTGGTCTCTGTACAGCGCTGCGGTATATGTCAGAGCTATATACATGTATAATAATAGTGTGTGACTGTGGGGGAGGGGACATTGGAGTGTAAGCTCCTCTGGTACAGAGACTGATGTGATTGGCTCAGTGATCTCTATATAACTGTGGGTGGGGAGGCATTAGATTGCAAGCTTCTGGGGCACAGGACAGTCGTGGTCTCTCGGTGTACAGTACTTAGCAGTATGTCGGTACTAATTGAATATTGAATCCCTTCTTAGACACGGAAGACGGCATCATGGCTTGCGGGAGAGTTGTCCAAGGAAGGCCATAAGGTGGCGCTGCTGAGCGGAGAGATGATGGTGGAGCAGAGAGCCGCTGTGATCGATCGATTTAGAGACGGGAAGGAGAAGGTGCTGGTGACCACCAACGTCTGCGCCAGAGGTGAGGAGAGCGCTGCTTGTGTGACATTTATAGTCGGCAATATTTAGAGCCGGTGACCAACTCCTGCATTTGTAGTCGATGGAGATCTGAGTGGGAAGCTGACCATTTAGGTGCATTTTACGGCATGCTGGGGGAGGGTCTCTACCTCACAGAGGAGATGCAAGGCAGTGCCCACCAGACATTGCTTGCCCCCGAAGCATAAATTCTCTCTCTCCCAGTACAAATCACCCCTGCCCCCCCCCCCCCCCCCCCCCCCCCAGCTCGAAAATCCTCTCGCTCCCATCTATGCCACCAGCACAAATCTCCTCCCAAAAAATGTCCCCCTCCTAGCACAAATCCTCTACCCCTCAAATTTCTCCTTGCAGCACAAATCCTCTCTCCCCCAATCCCCCAGCATGGCAGAAACATCCCTCCCCTCCAAAAATTTCCCATTCTAGCACAAATCAACCCCCCCCCCCAAATTGCCACTCCTAGCACCTCTCCAAACAATTCTCACCACCAAAGCCCCCCCCCCCCCCCCCCCCTCTTTTGTGGTAACACCCCCCACCCCCCCCACAGACACGTGCACGTTGCATGATGTCACACATACATTCCCCTCCTGCCCACCCCTTGTCCCAGCCAGTGGTGTATGTTGGTCTTGTGCTGCCCTAGGCAAGACAAAAATTGGGCACCCCCCTCATCTAAATTTGTCCCGCCCCTTCCTGTTTAAGATCCACCTCTTCAGGACAGGAGCATGATGGAGGGCAGTGTGACACGGGGGGCCGCCGCGGGACAGGAGGGGGGTAGCAGGAGAAGAGGGAAGCGGCGTGTAAGGGGGTAGGGCAGCATGATGGGAAATTCATAGAGATCTCCCCATGGGTGGGTGGTCTCCATCTGCCAGAAATGTCCCCCCCACTTTTTTTTTTTTTTTTTTTTTCCTGGGGGATTTTGTAACGCCAAAGCCCTCTTTTTCTCTTTTCCTCCAGGTATCGACGTGGAGCAGGTGTCCGTCGTCATCAACTTTGACCTTCCCGTGGACAAAGACGGCAACCCAGACAACGAGACGTATCTCCACAGGATTGGGCGCACCGGGCGTTTCGGCAAGCAAGGCCTGGCTATCAATATGGTGGACAGCAAACACAGCATGAACATCATGAACCAGATCCAGGAGCACTTCAGTAAGTGTTTTTCTGCGGGGGGCTCCAGGATGCAGAGTATTTAAAACCGTAGATCCGCTTGATACACGTCTGGCCTTGATCATTTAAAGGATAAGTTCACCTTTTTACCAAAAATAATAAATGCACTTTTATTTTATTTTTTTTGCAGATAAATAAAATGTGTATTTATTTTTGGTTGCGGGAGCCTGGAAAACCATTGCTCTGATCGCTGAATTCATGCAGATCTGTCAGTATATCTGCTTGCCCATACGGGATGTACGAACGAGCAGATATATACTGACCGGAAGAATCGGTGAACTAGCGCAGCGCCGTGCTATTGCATTGAAAACTATAAGCTGACAGCCGCTAAGGCTGTTGGGACTTGTAGTTTCTCATTCATGGAGGACTGTGAACGAACGATCCGGGTGGGCGGAGCCCGGAAAGTTTGACAGCAGGGGGAGAGAAGATCTCCCGCTAGCTGTCAAAGGTGGGAGTTGGAGCCAGGGGCGTATTCAACACAAGGCATTTGCCTAGGGGCAGCACTTTTCATGGGGGGGGGGGGGCAGCAGAAGAAAGGACAGAAGTGGGGACCAGGAAGGATCTGAGAGGGGGCTGCGGGCTACTTGATGGTGCATGCAGAAGCCCGACTCTCGTTCCCGGGGATGTCTGGAGCTATGAAGGTGAGTGTCTGAGTGGAAGGCTCCCTCAGGTGGGGGTTAGGGGTGTTGTTGGTCAATGTCAGGCTCTCTCTGCAGGGTAGGGGGGGGGGGGGGGGGGGGGGGGGCATCCAATTTTGGTGTTGCCTAGGGCAGCACAAAACCTAAATCCGCCACTGGTTGGAGCCAAAATTCATAACATGGAGCCAGTGCATTCATAACATGTTACGCCCTGAATATGGCCCTTTCTGGCCCACCTCCGATTGCTGGGGTAAAAGCCCATTTTCCTTCCTAAAGCACACCGTCACATGACACACTAGCCCCGAGCCTTCTCTCCTGGCCCACCTCCAGTTGCTGGGGTAAAAGCCCATTTTCCTTCCCTAAAGCCACCGTCACATGACACACTAGCCCCGAGCCTTCTCTCCTGGCCCACCTCCGATTGCTGGGGTAAAAGCCCATTTTCCTTCCCTAAAGCCACCGTCACATGACACACTAGCTAGCCCCGGGTAGCCTTTCTCTCCTGGCCCACCCTCCAGTTGCTGGGGTAAAAGCCCATTTTCCTTCCCTAAAGCCATCGTCACATGACACACTAGCCCCGAGCCTTCTCTCTTTACTCTGGCTTGGATCCTTCTTTGGGTGTCCAATGCACACTCGAGTGGCCATCTCTCTTTAGCTATTTGGTTGTCCATAGGGTTGTCCAGGGGGGGGTCCTCTTGGGATCCAGAAGAGGAATGGAAGGGGACTGGTGGTCTCTTGTGCCATCACAGCATGGACCAGAGCCCCCCCCCCCCCTACTTCAGAAGCGAGGTTGGGACTTGGAGCGGTGCAGTTTCTCTCATCTCATGCTGCTCTATGTTGTAACCCCCAGAGGTGGGTTTTCTCCTCTAACCCCGACTTCTGTTTTTCAGATAAGAAGATTGAGAAGCTGGATACAGATGACATCGATGAAATCGAGAAGATAGCCAACTGATCGTTCCCACAGCCAGTCTCCACCACCGCGCTCTCCTTACCAGTGGCCGAATCGGTGGTGGCGGCATTCTCCAACCAACATCTGACCACCAGCGCCAAAATGAACTCGTGTTTTATCACGGGGGCCCCACTCGGACAGAACAGACTTTGTTTTTGACCTTTTTTGTTTTTAGTCTAGCTTTAAAGGAAATCTTTTAAAACTATCAGCTGCTCTTTTTTTTGGAGGACCAGTTGTTGCCCCATAATTGCCAGCGATGGCGTTAAGGAGGGCTTGTTTCTTATATTGGGAACTTCATTTTTTTTTTTTTTTTCCTACCCTTTCTGCTTGAACAGATTGCTGCATATTTACCCGATTCCGTGCAATTTTTGGACTTTAAGACGTCATACAGTTGAAACCATTCATTTCTAAACTGGGATTTCTTCATTTCTGACCTTATCAATGATCGCTGAAAATGTAGGAGATGTAGGGGCGCATCATGATTTCAGACACTAAACAGGGATGGCCAGACTTTGCAGGATCCGTTGTCTACGGTGCCCTCCCGAGACCCTTGCGCCCTCCCGAGACCCCTGCGCCCTCCCGAGACCCCTGCGCCCTCCCGAGACCCTGCGCCCTCCCGAGACCCTGCGCGCTCCCGAGACCCTTGCGCGCTCCCGAGCCATCCTCAAAGTAACACTAAAACAGCCAATATCAATCCTGTATTAGTGGGCCTACACCAGACTAAATCAAGACCGACTACTCAAGTTTGGCTGCTGTCCCCTCACGTACATTCCTCTCCTTAAGGTTTTTGGTTTTATCATGGCAACTGAATCCTATGACGCTAGCTGTGCTCATGGTTTTTTTTAGAGCCGGGTTTGGTTTGGCAATGCTGTGTTTTGGGCGGGAAGGTCAGGTTTAGAATTGGGAATGCCATATTCTGGGAGGCATGGTAGGCCAGGTTTGGTTTAGGAATGCCGTACTCTGGGATGGATGGTAGGCCAGGTTTGGCTGTGGGAATGCCATACTGGGCATGTTAGGCTAGGTTTGGTTTAGGAATGCCATTACTCTGGGAGGCATGGCAAATAAGGTCTGGCTTTGGGAACGCCATACTCTGGTATGGTATATCGGGTCTGGTTTTGGGAATGCTGTATTTGGGAAGGAATCGTAGGCCAGGTTTGGTTTGTGAATGCTGTGTTTTGGGGTAGGCCAGGTTTGGTTTTTGGGAATGCCGTACTCTGTGAGGGATGGTTAGAAAGATCTGGCTTTGGGAATGCCTTACTCGGGCATCTTAGGCTAGGTCTGGCTTTGGGAAATCTGTATTTGGGGAGGGATGGTAGGCCAGGTTTGGTGTTGGGATGCCATACTCGGGGAGGGATGGTAGGCCAGGTTTGGTTTAGAAATGCTATACTCGGGGAGGGATGGTAGGCCAGGTCTGACTTTGACAATGACATACTGAGGCATGGTAGGCCAGGTCTGACTTTGGGAATACCTTATTTGGGGAGGGATGGTAGGCCAGGTTTGGGTGTTGGGATTACTTGGGGAGGGATGGTAGGCCAGGTTTGGGTTTTGGGAATGCCATACTTGGGGAGGGATGGTAGGCCAGGTTTGGGTTTTGGGAATGCCATACTTTGGGAGGGATGGTAGGCCAGGTTTGGTGTTGGGAATGCCATACTTGGGGAGGGATGGTAGGCCAGGTTTGGTGTTGGGAATGCCATACTTGGGGAGGGATGGTAGGCCAGGTTTGGTGTTGGGAATGCCATACTTTGGGAGGGATGGTAGGCCAGGTTTGGTGTTGGGAATGCCATACTTTGGGACGGATGGTAGGCCAGGTTTGGGTTTTGGGAATGCCATACTTTGGGGAGGGATGGTAGGCCAGGTTTGGTGTTGGGAATTCCATACTTGGGGAGGGATGGTAGGCCAGGTTTGGGTTTTGGGAATGCCATACTTGGGGAGGGATGGTAGGCCAGGTCTGACGTTGAGTACAAAAAGGAGATAAGCGAGCGCTAAAATAATCCTAAATGAATGAGCAGCTGTACACCAAAAAAGGTACCCATACACCTTCCAAGACACATATACAAAGAGGGTGCAGGGCTAATAGATTCATCAGTATTAAAGTATCAATACAAATCCATATATAAAGTGACAAAGTGCAAATACATAGGCCACTGTATGGTGGTCAAAAGTGCTAAAGAGTGTAAACTCAATTTAAACAGTCCAGAAAGAAGAGGTGCTCTTGAGATTCCCAATGATCTCAGGATGTCCAGTGATACCTACCATGAATCTGGTGCTAAATAATAAGAATGCGCACTCACCAGATACGCATTCTAAATGCGCATAAATAGTAGTAAGCCTCTGGTCATCCAGATGTCATCACAGAATGGGTTTGGTCGAATCAAGTCAGGTTAATCCTTATTACCTGGCAGTATTAATGCTCTTAGGGGTTCTCCACTCAATGGATGCAGCCTACTCACAGGGGGTCCCCTCACACGGATGTAGATGCTTCTTCCCTCTTGGCCGCAGAAATGACACCCGCTCAGTGATTTACATCGCAGACAGCCACTAACTCTTCTCGAACACTTAGCCGGAGCACCACAACAACGACGTTGTGTTCGGGAAGAGTTAGTGGCTGTCTGCGATGTAAATCACTGAGTGGGTGTCATGTCTGCGGCCAAGAGGGAAGAAGCATCTACATCCGTGTGAGGGGACCCCCTGTGAGTAGGCTGCATCCATTGAGTGGAGAACCCCTAAGAGCATTAATACTGCCAGGGAATGAGGATTAACCTGATCTGATTCGACCAAACCCATTCTGTGATGACATCTGGATGACCAGAGGCTTACTACTATTTTATGCGCATTTAGAATGCGTATCTGGTGAGTGCGCATTCTTATTATTTACCACCAGATTCAGGGTCTGTATCACTGGACATCCCGAGATCATTGGGAATCTCAAGAGCACCTCTTCTTTCTGGACTGTTTAAATTGAGTTTACACTCTTTAGCACTTTTGACCACCATACAGTGGCCTATGTATTTGCACTTTGTCACTTTATATATGGATTTGTATTGATACTTTAATACTGCTGAATCTATTAACGCTGCACCCTCTTTGTATACAGGTCTGACTTTGGCAATGACATTCTCAGGCATGGTAGGACAGGTGTGGCTTTGGGAAATCTGTATTTGGAGAGGGATGGTAGGTCAGGTTTGGTGTTGGGAATGCCATACTTGGGGAGGGATGGTAGGCCAGGTTTGGTGTTGGGAATGCCATACTTGGGGAGGGATGGTAGGCCAAGTTTGGTGTTGGGAATGCCATACTTGGGGAGGGATGGTAGGCCAGGTTTGGTGTTGGGAATGCCATACTCGGGGAGGGTTGGTAGGCCAGGTTTGGTGTTGGGAATTCCATACTCGGGGAGGGATGGTAGGCCAGGTTTGGTGTTGGGAATGCCATACTTGGGGAGGGATGGTAGGCCAGGTTTGGTGTTGGGAATGCCATACTCGGGGAGGGATGGTAGGCCAGGTTTGGTGTTGGGAATGCCATACTCGGGGAGGGATGGTAGGCCAGGTTTGGTGTTGGGAATGCCATACTCGGGGAGGGATGGTAGGTCAGGTTTGGTGTTGGGAATGCCATACTCGGGGAGGGATGGTAGGCCAGGTTTGGTGTTGGGAATGCCATACTCGGGGAGGGATGGTAGGCCAGGTTTGGTGTTGGGAATGCCATACTCGGGGAGGGATGGTAGGTCAGGTTTGGTGTTGGGAATGCCATACTCGGGGAGGGTTGGTAGGCCAGGTTTGGTGTTGGGAATGCCATACTCGGGGAGGGATGGTAGATCAGGTTTGGTTTAGAAATGCTATACTCGGGGAGAGATCATAAGCCAGGTCTGACTTTGGCAATGACATACTCAGGCATGGTAGGTCAGGTGTAGCTTTGGGAATTCCGTATTTGGGGAGGGATGGTAGGCCAGGTTTGGTTTTAGGAATGCCATATTTGGGGCGGGGAGGGATGACTTGCAGTTTTTATGAAAGGTTGCAGTAATCCGCCTCTCCTTTAGGCTTTGGCCTAGAACAACTGCCAGGCCTTTACTATTCTTAGTAGGCCATGCCGCCTTCCAGGTGTGGGGGGTCCTACTTTTGTGTTTTTAGTTTAAAAATCTGCTTCCAAATGAGAAGCCACCAGTTCTTTTACAAAGTAAAAATGGAAAGAAATGCACCTAAATTTTAGGGAAAAGTGTTTTTTCTAATTGGTTTTTAAGTTTATCTGTTGTTCACAAGCAGGAGCATTATTCTTGTAGGCCGATCCCGCCTGCGATTTGTCGGTTTACTAAAAGCTGCAGCACGAGGCGTGCAGAGGATCGATCGTCATCAGGTTTGGCACACAAGATGGCTGCCTGCCGGTGAACAACACATACACTTCATGTTTAAAATAAATACAAAGTTATCGTGTAGACATTAGATTTTGTGGGAGAAATTTGGATTTCTGCTGTATTATGTTTGAATAAAGAATATGTGCTATTAGCATGACTTTGTAATCTGTAGATATTATGTAAAGCTCCGGCTGTAATGAGAATTGCACCCCTGACAGGTTTTGCAGCCATAGCACTTCACTGCCTTGGGTGACAGAATGTGAAAAGCCGATCCTATTCTCCCATGCTGCTCTGGGGCGATGAAAGTGAGAGAATCTTGATTGCTATGGAGAACACGAAGGGGCTCATTCACACTTTTTGTTTTTAACTTAAATCAACTGGATTTCATCAAAACCAAAACTCTTTGATGTGTTCTAATGCACAATAAAGATCGGTCTTTTCAATAGAGTTTTCCAGCCCCTAAAAAGGCCACCATGCTTGCTGCACAAAGGGGGCTCAGTGTCCCTTGTTTTAGTTTTTGCACAACCGGTGGCTGCAATGTCTGCTCCTTCTCCAGCCGCTGGTCATGTAACAACCGTTCCGTATTTCTTGTAAGTGATCAGCAACACGGCTGTAGTGGGGGGGGGGGGGGGGGGATGTGAGGTCTCAAACTCTGGTATTATCCTGCCCACTAACAGTGTCGTTTGATTGACCGGCCAGAAGACTACTAGACTGTCCCACCTACCATGGCCTAATAGCTTGACTGACAAACCAGGAGACTCCTAGTCTGTCCTGAGTACAATGGCCTAATTCGTTGACTAACTAGCCAGGAGACTCCCTAGTCTGTCCAACCTACCATGGCCTAACAGTTTGACTGACTGGCCAGGAGACTCCTAGTCTGTCCCACATACAATGGCCTAATGGCTTGACTGACTGGCCAGAAGTCTTCTAGTCTGTCCCGCCTACCATGGCCTAATGGCTTGACTGACAAGCCAGGAGACTCCTAGTCTGTCCCGCCTACCCACGTACCATGGCCTAACAGCTTGACTGACAGGCCAGGAGTCTTCTAGTCTGTCCTGCCTACCGTGGCCTAATGGCTGACAGGCCAGGAGACTCCTAGTCTGTCCCACGTACAATGGCCTAATGGCTTGACTGACCGGCCAGGAGACTCCTAGTCTGTCCTGCCTACCATGGCCAAACGGCTTGACTGACCGGCCAGACTTCTGGTCTGTCCCGCCTACCATGGCCAAACGGCTTGACTGACCGGCCAGACTCCTAGTCTGTCCTGCCTACCATGGCCAAACGGCTTGACTGACCGGCCAGGAGACTCCTAGTCTGTCCTGCCTACCATGGCCAAAGGCTTGACTGACCGGCCAGACTTCTGGTCTGTCCCACCTACCATGGCCAAACGGCTTGACTGACTGGCCAGGAGACTCCTAGTCTGTCCCACGTACAATGGCCCAAGGGCTTGACTGACCAGCCAGGAGACTCCTAGTCTGTCCCACCTACCATGGCCCAAGGGCTTGACTGACCAGCCAGACTTCGTCTGTCCCATCTACCATGGCCCAACGGCTTGTCATGTCCCCTCCAGCTGCTTGTAATGGAAATTACAGTTTGCCGCTCCAACTGCTATTACAAGAGAGTCTGTTCTTAAAAAAAATATATTTGAAAATTTGCTACGCAAATACCATGTGACAAAAAAATTGCTAAATCCACCATTTTATTCTCTAGGGCGTAGCTTTAAGATATATATAATATTTGGGGGTTCTAAGATATTTTCTAGCAAAATACTGATTGTTACATGTAAACAGCCCCAGGAAAGGCTGCATGGAAATGTGTACAGTGGTGGTGTGACAACAACCAAAGGGAAAGAGCTGAGCTGTTTGGAATGGTTTTGGTTGAATTATTTCATGTGACCTCATGGCTGCCAATATATCTAATACAGTCAAATATTTCCATAGAGTGGAGTGTAGTTTCAATAACTGATATTGATCATTGCAGCCCTCTTTGGGCCCCAGGCTTCCCTCCATCCTGTCCCATTGGGACCGGTAGTGTCTCGCTCCCCCTCCACAGACCCGAGCCATCGTATTGACCACTCGCAAGCCTCAGCTTTCCATTGTGATTTATTCAGGAATTAAGTGCAGTGCGTTTTTGGATTTACACAAAAAAAAAACTTTATCAGGCAGAAATCTCGGCACACAAATATATAAAAAAAAGAATTGCATTAAAGACTCGTATAATGCCCTATTTTACATCGATCGCTCGATCGATGCGTGCCCCGTATGGGAGGAGAAAAGGAAGAATCTGACCGCCATCGTCAAGACTCAATGGGCCGGTTCTTGCCGTGTGTACATTGCTAAATGAGGCTCCAAACAATTACATATCCAAACCAAACATTTCGGGGGGGAAAAAAAAAAAACCCAAAAACCTTTGCACAAATCAGTCAAGTTTTTAGCGATAACATCTATGATAAAACTACGCAGGGTCCTGCACACAAATGTGACTTGAAGAATGAGGAGAAATGCTGGTTCTGCCCATAGCGACCGCTCTGGGGTTGATGTTCATTTTCTCAGACTAGAAAATTTGTATCTGATTGTTATGGTGAACGATCCCACTGGAAGGGCCAAGCGAACTGTTCAATGCATGAAGCTTCTGTGGCGGGGGTGAAATACTGTATGGAAAAAAGTCTGTGTACCCCTGACCATCACACCTCTAGGAGCTTGTTGGACAGGCCATTTGGCCATCAATATGGAGCTGTCCACCTTTATGGCTACAACATCCTCTGCTCTTCTGTGAAGAGTTTCCACAAGGAGTGTATCTGGGAATTTGGCCCATTTGTGAGGTCAGGTACTGATGATGGATAAGGAGATCTGGCTCACAACTGGCATTCCAGTTCATCCCAAAGGTGTTCAGTAGGGTTGAGGTCCCACTCATGCTCCACATATTAAAAGACATGGTTTGACCAGTTGAGGGTGGAGGAACTTGAGTGTCCTGACCTCAACCCTACTGAACACCTTTGGTTTGAACTGGAATGCCAGTTGTGAGCCAGATCTTCCCAACCAACATCAGTACCTGACCTCACATATAGGCCAAATTCCCAGACTCTCAAAAAAAATCTTGTGGAAAGTCTTCCCGAAAGAGTGTCCACATCTTAAAAGACATGGTTTGACCAGTTGAGGGTGGAGGACACTCTTTCGGGAAGACTTTCCACAAGATTTTTTTGAGAGTCTGGGAATTTGGCCTATATGTGAGGTCAGGTACTGATGTTGGATGGGAAGATCTGGCTCACAACTGGCATTCCAGGTCATCCCAAAGGTGTTCAGTAGGGTTGTGGTCAGGACACTCAAGTTCCTCCACACTCAACTGGTCAAACCATGTCTTTTAAGACTTGGACACCCTTCATGGCCACAATTTCCTCAGCTCTTTTTGGGATGACCGTTCACAGGATTTCTGATGGAGTCTGGGAATTCAGCCCATTTGTGAGGTCAGGTGCTGATGGTAGAATAGGAGACCTGGCTCACAACTGGCCTTCTAGTTCATCCCAAATGTGTTCAGTGGGGCTGAGGTCAGGACCTGACTCATTCCTATTTATCCCGAAGATGTTCAGTAGAGTTAAGGTCAGGGCTCTGTGCAGGACACGCAAGTTCCTCCACACCAAACTGGTCAAACTGTGCAAAGTAGGGTGTCCTAGTCTATAAAGACAGACTTTCCACAAGATTTTGGAGTATATGTGGGAGTTTGGCTCATTTGTGAGGTCAGGTACTGATGATGGATATGGAGATCTGGCCCACAACTGGCATGCCAGTTCATCCCAAAGGTGTACGGTAGGGTTGAGGTCAGGACACTCAAGTTCCTCTACACCAGGGGTAGGCAACCTGCGGCTCTCTAGCTGTTGTGGAACTACATTTCCCATGAGGCATTGCAACATTTCAAAACTGAAAGTTACAGCTATGGCTTGCAGAGGCATGATGGAACTTGTAGTCCTGCTGGAGAGCCGCAGGTTGCCTATCCCTGCTCTACACTCAACTGGTCAAACAAAGACTTGGACACCCTTCATGGACACAACTTCCTCCACTCTTCTGGGAAGACTTTCCACACGTTTTTTTTTTTAGGGAGTCTGGGAATTTGGCCTATTTGGGAGGACAGGTACTGATGTTGGATGAGAAGATCCGGCTCACAATTGGCATTCTAGTTCATCCCAAAGGTGTTCAGTAGGGTTGAGGTCAGGATACTCAAGTTCCTCCACACTCAACTGGTCAAACTATGTCTTTTAAGACTTGGACACCCTTCATGGCCACAACTTCCTCCACTCTTCTGGGAAGACTTTCCACAAGTTTTTTTTTTTTTGAGGGAGTCTGGGAATTTGGCCTATATGGGAGGACTGGCGCTGATGTTGGATGAGAAGATCTGGCTCACAATCGACATACTAGTTCATCCCAAAGGTGTTCAGTTGAGGTCAGGGCTGTGTACAGGACACTCCAGTTCCTCCACACCAGATTGGTCAAACCATGTCTTCATGGAGCTGGCTTTGTACACAGAGGGGACAGTCATGGTAAAACAGAAAAGGGTTTTCCCCAAACTACCACAAGGTTGGAAGAGCACAACTGCCTACAATGTCTTTGTAAGATGGGAATATTACCGGGACCCTTCACTGGAGACACCTCATCTCCATAATTTGGACATGGATTGGGAAGTCCAACAAGCTCTTATAGGTCTGATGTTAGGTGTTCATAAATTATTATAGTGTACATACCATTGTGATCCCCTCTTGATTGATAGGGTAAGAAAAAAAAAAACAACATTGTTATGGAGAATGTACCAAGTGATGCAAGTCCCCGCCCCCTGAATAGAATATGCTCAGTACAAGGTGCCACCCTGTAGATGTAAGTGAGCTTCACCGTGGTCTCCTGGGAAAGCTAAGAACCCCTAGTCCTGCAAAAAATAACACTCCAGCATTGTGCAGAACTTGTTCTGTGGGATTTGGGTTCCTCAGCTTCCGGAGGGCTCCATGTCCTGAAAAATCCTGAAAAAATAACACTCCAGCATTGTGCAGAACTTGTTCTCAGCTTTTTGAGGGCTCCATGTCCTAGCCCAGTAAGCCCACCAGGACCTAACGTGAATGTCACTGGGACAGATGTCCAAGACTAAGTGGTGGCTGTGGACATGACCAGGACAGATCACCGACACTGTGGGGTGGTTGTGGACATCACAGGGATGGATCACCGGCACTGTGGGGTGTTGTGGACATCACAGGGAGAGATCACCGGCACTGTGGGGTGGTTGTGGACATCACAGGACAGATCACCGGCACTGTGGGGTGGTTGTGGACATCACAGGGACGGATCACCGGGACTGTGGGGTGGTTATGGACATCACAGGGACGAGATCACCGGGACTGTGGGGTGGTTGTGGACATCACAGGGACGGATCACCGGCACTGTGGGGTGGTTGTGGACATCACAGGGACGGATCACACGGGACTGTGGGGTGGTTATGGACATCACAGGGACGGATCACCGGCACTGTGGGGTGGTTGTGGACATCACAGGGACGGATCACCGGCACTGTGGGGTGGTTGTGGACATGACCAGGGACAGATCACCGGGACACTGTGGGGTGGTTGTGGACATCACAGGGACGGATCACCGGCACTGTGGGGTGGTTGTGGACATCACAGGGACGGATCACCGGCACTGTGGGGTGGTTGTGGACATCACAGGGACGGATCACCGGGACTGTGGGGTGGTTGTGGACATCACAGGGACGGATCACCGGGACTGTGGGGTGGTTGTGGACATGACCAGGGACAGATCACTGGACACTGTGGGGTGGTTGTGGACATGACCAGGGACGGATCACCGACACTGTGGGGTGGTTGTGGACATCACAGGGACGGATCACCGGCACTGTGGGGTGGTTGTGGACATGACCAGGGACAGATCACCGGCACTGTGGGGTGGTTGTGGACATCACAGGGACGGATCACCGGCACTGTGGGGTGGTTGTGGACATCACAGGGACGGATCACCGGCACCCTCTGTCCTCTAGTCTCTTTCCAGGTACTGGATACACAGGACAGACTTGTTGGGGATGTTGCACTCCTGTAGGCTCCGGCTGAGGTCCATAAAACTCCTCCTAGGCACTTCCATAGACTCCACAATGCAGTCCTTATAAGGCACCCCGGTCTTCTCCTCCGCCACGGCCAGCACGGTGAAGAGAGTGTCTGTAGGCCGAAAGTGCCTCTGAAACCTCTGTCCAGAGTGGGATCTGATGGCCAGGAGAAGTCTGGGCTCTTCCTCAGATGGTTCCTGCAGGTTCACAGGGACCACAGAGTCCATCATTCTGACATTCCTGTGGCTGCTAGATGGGTGGTCACCACCTGAGGCAGCACTGGACTGACTGCGGTACAAAGCTTTGGCTGGCAGACGTGCCCCCGACCCCGAAGTCAGCTTCATGCAGCCGGTCCGTCGGATGAGTTTCGTCCTCCCCGTGTTCCCCACTGCTTTCTGCTGCCCCAATGGAGGGCAGCACTCGGTACCGGCTCAGGCTGGAGGAAGGTGGTCTGGCTGGAAGCTGGTGGAGCAGCTCTGGCACGCCCTCCTGCCCAATTCTGGACGGGGCCCGGGCTGAGGGAGGTCGTGGGGTGGGTGAGGTGTGGCAGGGGTAAGTCTCCACATGGTGGGAGAAGCCCTGCGGGGTGGTCCGGGTGCGACCTTTGGCAGATTTCGGTCTCGCTACGTGCATTCTACATAGGGGGTCTCCTGTGCCGGGGGGGTTCAGCCCAGTTGAAGCCGAGGCCATCCCTACTCACTGGACCTGGAGGGGGGAGAGAGGGAGTCAGACCAACGCCCAGAGGAACCTGCAGAGACCCCCATTGTAACTACCCCCTGACCCCCCCCCCAATATCATTACCCTGCAATCCCCTTCCCCCATTATAGATAATCCCCCACCCCCCTATTATAATTACCATAAAATTACCCCCCCCCCCCTTCATTTTTAATTACCCCACGGTATTTTTTCCCTGCCTCCCTCCCCACATTATAAGTAACCCACAATCCCCACCCCCAACATTTTGTTTACCCCACAATTCCCCACCCTGGTATGACTGCCCTACAACACCCCCCTATAACTCCCCTGCAACCCCTCCCCCCATTGTAGTTACACCAAGACTCCTCCCCCATAACATATAATCACCCAGCAATTCCCCCTCCCCCATTATAATTACCCCCTATCCTATATAACATTTACAACCCCCCCCCCCCCATTACAATTACCACACAAATCCTCCTTCGTTACATATCATCACTGCAATTTCTCCCCTCCCCCCTTTCAATTATAATTCACCTGCAGCCCCCCATAATGATTACCATCCCCCAGGGGCGGACTGACCATTTGGAAACTCAGGCACTGCCCGAGGGCCCGGGTCAGTAGGGGGCCCCATGAGATGCCCCTGGTACCTTTTTCATAGGCTTTTTTGAGTTTGGGCAAGGACACAGGGGCCCCATGATCCCCTATTGCCCGGGGGCCCCATGAGTTCTCAGTCCGCCCCTGCGCCTCCCCCACTATAATTCCCCTGCAGCCCCCCCATAATAATTCCCCCCCTACTATAATTCCCCTGCAGCCCCCCACAATAATTACCCTCCCCCCCCCATAATAATCCCCTGCAGCCCCCCCTATAATTCCCCTGCAGCCCCCCCCCCCCCACAATAATTACCCCCCCCCACTATAATTCCCCTGCAGCCCCCCCCCCCACAATAATTTACCATTCCCCCTAATAATTCCCCCCCCCCACTATAATTCCCCTGAAGCCCCCTCCCCAATAATATTCCCCCCCTTTCAATTATAATCCCCCCCCACAATCTCTCTGAATAGAATTACCGCCCCCCCCGGAGGTCTCTCACCTCTCCCATGGCCGCCATCACTCCGTCCAGCTCCGGCTAGTAAACAACCGTCCGTTACCAGGACAACAGAGGAGGGCGCGCTGCGTGCTGACGTCCTTACGTCCAGGAGGAGAGGAGCGAGTCGGACTTGTCTTGCATGGGGGGCGGGGCGGACCGCCCCCTCTCATGGTTCCTCGGTGTAGAGCTGTATCCGTGCCGCTACTGCGCATGTGCCGGGTCAGTGAAGCAGTCTGGGGGGCTGTCAGTGGGGGAGGGGCAGAAGTTGAGGGGTGGGGTCTGTCAGTGGGGGAGGGGCAGAAATTGAGGGGTGGGGGGGCTGTCAGTGGGGGAGGGGCAGAAGTTGAGGGGTGGGGTCTGTCAGTGGGGGAGGGGAAGAAGTTGAGGGGTGGGGTCCGTCAGTGGGAGGGGCATAAATTGAGGGGTGGGGGGTCTGTTAGTGGGGGAGGGGCAGAAGTTGAGGGGTGTGGGTTTGTCTGGGGGAGGGGCAGAAGTTGAGGGGTGTGTGGTTTGTCTGGGGGAGGGGCAGAAGTTGAGGGGTGTGGGTCTGTCAGTGGGGGAGGGGCAGAAGTTGAGGGGTGGGTCTGTCAGTGGGGGAGGGGCAGAAGTTGAGGGGTGGGGTCTGTCAGTGGGGGAGGGGCAGAAGTTGAGGGGTGTGGGTCTGTCAGTGGGGGAGGGGCAGAAGTTGTTGAGGGGTGGGGGTCTGTCAGTGGGGGAGGGGCAGAAGTTGAGGGGTGTGGGTCTGTCAGTGGGGGAGGGGCAGAAGTTGAGGGGTGGGGGTCTGTCAGTGGGGGAGGGGAAGAAGTTGAGGGGTGTGGGTCCGTCAGTGGGGGGAGGGGCATAAATTGAGGGGTGGGGTCTGTCAGTGGGGGAGGGGCAGAAGTTGAGGGGTGGGGTCTGTCAGTGGGGGAGGGGCAGAAAGTTGAGGGGTGGGGTCTGTCAGTGGGGGAGGGGAAGAAGTTGAGGGGTGGGGGGTCGTCAGTGGGAGTCCCATAAATTGAGGGGTGGGGGGGTCAGTCAGTGGGGGAGGGGCAGAAGTTGAGGGGGGGTGTCTGTCAGAAGTCCCCACTGTCACACAAATATGGTGGGAGACCCAGGAGGACCTGGGGTCACAGTCCCTCCAGTCACACATGGTGGGGGGGTTACAGTCCCTCCAGTCACACATGGTGGGGGGGGTCACAGTCCCTCCAGTCACACATGGTGGGGGGGTCACAGTCCCTTCCAGTCACACATGGTGGGGGGGGGTCACAGTCCCTCCAGTCACACATGGTGGGGGGGGTCACAGTCCCTCCTGTCACACATGGTGGGGGGGTCACAGTCCCTCCTGTCACACATGGTGGGGGGTCACAGTCCCTCCAGTCACACACGGTGGGGGGGGGTCACAGTCCCTCCAGTCACACATGGTGGGGGGGGGTCACAGTCCCTCCAGTCACACATGGTGGGGGGGGTCACAGTCCCTCCTGTCACACATGGTGGGGGGGGTCACAGTCCCGCCTGTCACACATGGTGGGGGGGGTCACAGTCCCTCCAGTCACACACGGTGGGGGGGGTCACAGTCCCTCCAGTCACACATGGTGGGGGGGGGGTCACAGTCCCTCCAGTCACACACGGTGGGGGGGGTCACAGTCCCTCCAGTCACACATGGTGGGGGGGTCACAGTCCCTCCAGTCACACACGGTGGGGGGGGTCACAGTCCCTCCAGTCACACACGGTGGGGGGGGGTCACAGTCCCTCCAGTCACACATGGTGGGGGGGGGTCACAGTCCCTCCAGTCACACACGGTGGGGGGGGGTCACAGTCCCTCCAGTCACACATGGTGGGGGGGTCACAGTCCCTCCAGTCACACACGGTGGGGGGGGGTCACAGTCCCTCCAGTCACACATGGTGGGGGGGTCACAGTCCCTCCAGTCACACATGGTGGGGGGGTCACAGTCCCTCCAGTCACACATGGTGGGGGGGGTCACAGTCCCTCCAGTCACACATGGGGGGGGGTCACTGATGTTTTGGGGGTGCTTTGCTCCTTCAGGCACTGGATGTCTCGGCCGTGTGGATGGCGTGATGAAGTCTGAAGACTACCCAAGAATTCTGGGGTGCAATGTAGGTCCCGGGGTCAGGAAGTTGGGTCTCCAATGTCAGAGGTCATGGGTCACACAGCAGGACAATGACCCCAAAGCACAAGTCACAGAGCCCCCAGAGATGGAGTCACACAGTGCTGGAGAGGACTGGACTGACCAGCAATGAGTCCAGATCTCCATCCCATAGAGCTCCTGTGGAGAGATCTCAGAGTGGCAGTTGGGGGGAGGAGCCTTCCAATCCGAGAGACCTGGAGCCATTGGAGGAAGAAGAGGGGTCCAAAATCCCAGGACAGAGGGGGAGGAAACTCATTGATGGTTCCAGGAAGCCACTGATTTCAGGTATTTTTTTTTTTTTTTACCAAAATTTACATGGAGGGTGCCAATAATTTTGTCCATTTTGGGGTTTTGGGTGGAATGGGTCAGATTTGGCTTTTTGTTTCTCCGCTGTTTTCTGTCGCCGATACAAAGAAAGAAACACGAGAACGCCGAAACATTTGTCATCGCAGCGATTTTCTGGTGCGTTATTGGACAGAAATGGGAGGGGGGGGGGGGGCAAGATTTTTGGCTGTGACTGTACATTCATACACGGGGCCCCTCATGTGCAGTAAAAGGGGCCCTCATTGTGCACTTTGAAGGGCGCAGCAGCCAGACACTCGTTTTTTTTTTTCCGTCTGGTAAAGGAGCGCGGTCACCGTCTGTGATGTAAGTTTGATATTTTCGCTCATCCTCGGAGTTCATCTTCGGAAATGTCAGAGACGTCGGGCGACGTCCACCCGTCAGGTCAGGGACTTAAAGGAGACGTATGGGTCATTTTTTTTTTTTTTTTTTTTTTTGCACAATTACACTATATTGCCAAAAGTATTGGCCCCACCCTCTAAATCATGTGATTCAGATGTTCCAATCCCCTCCATATCATGTGATTCAGGTGTTCCAATCCCCTCCATATCATGTGATTCGGGTGCTCCAATCCCCTCCATATCATGTGATTCGGGTGTTCCAATCCCCTCCATATCATGTTATTTCGGGTGTTCCAATCCCCTCCATATCATGTGATTCGGGTGTTCCAATCCCCTCCATATCATGTGATTCAGGTGCTCCAATCCCCTCCATATCATGTGATTCAGGTGTTCCAATCCCCTCCATATAATGTGATTCAGGTGTTCCAATCCCCTCCCAATCATGTGATTCAGGTGTTTCCAATCCCCTCCCAATCATGTGATTCAGGTGTTCCAATCCCCTCCCAATCCTGTGATTCAGGTGTGCCAATCCCCTCCCAATCATGTGATTCAGGTGTTCCAATCCCCTCTCAATCATGTGATTCAGGTGTTCCAATCCCCTCCATATCATGTGATTCAGGTGTTCCAATCCCCTCCATGGACACAGGTGTATACAATCATCCCCTAGGCATGCAGACGGCTTCTACAAACATTGGTGAAAGAATGGGTCGCTCTCAGGAGGGGTTATTGAGGCATACTAGGAGTGGGAGGGGTTATTGACGCATGCTAGAAGAAGGAGGGGTTATTGAGGCATAGTGGGAGGGGTTATCGAGACATTTTTTGGAGTAGGAGGGGTTATGGAGGCATACTGGGAGTAGGAGGAGTTATCAAGGCATACTGGGAGTGGGAGGGGTTTATTGAGGCATAGTGGGAGGGGTTATCGAGACATTTTTGGAGTAGGAGGGGTTATGGAGGCATACTGGGAGTGGGAGAGGTTTTGAAGACATTCTCGGAGTAGGAGGAGTTATTAAGGCATACTGGGAGTAGGAGGGGTTATTGAGGCATAGTGGGAGGGGTTATCAAGGCATGCTGGGAGTAGGAGGGGTTATCAATGTATGCTGGGAGTAGGAGTTATCGAGGCATACTGGGAGTAGGAGGAGTTATTGAGGCATACTGGGAGTAGGAGGAGTTATTGAGTTATCGAGGCATGCTGGGAGTAGGAGGGGTTATCGAGGCATGCTGGGAGTAGGAGGGGTTATCGAGGCATGCTGGGAGTAGGAGGGGTTATCAAGGCATGCTGGGAGTAGGAGGAGTTATTGAGGCATGCTGGGAGTAGGAGTTATCGAGGCATGCTGGGAGTAGGAGGAGTTATCGAGGCATACTGGGAGTAGGAGGAGTTATCGAGGCATGCTGGGAGTAGGAGGAGTTATCGAGGCATGCTGGGAGTAGGAGGGGTTATCGAGGCATGCTGGGAGTAGGAGGAGTTATCGAGGCATGCTGGGAGTAGGAGGAGTTATCGAGGCATGCTGGGAGTAGGAGGGGTTATCGAGGCATGCTGGGAGTAGGAGGAGTTATCGGGGCATGCTGGGAGTAGGAGGAGTTATCGAGGCATGCTGGGAGTAAGAGGAGTTATCGAGACATGCTGGGAGTAGGAGGAGTTATCGAGACATGCTGGGAGTAAGAGGAGTTATCGAGGCATGCTGGGAGTAGGAGGAGTTATCGAGGCATGCTGGGAGTAGGAGGAGTTATCGAGGCATGCTGGGAGTAGGAGGAGTTATCGGGGCATGCTGGGAGTAGGAGGAGTTATCGGGGCATGCTGGGAGTAGGAGGAGTTATTGAGGCATGCTGGGAGTAGGAGGGGTTATCGAGGCATGCTGGGAGTAGGAGGAGTTATCGGGGCATGCTGGGAGTAGGAGGAGTTATCGAGGCATGCTGGGAGTAGGAGGAGTTATCGAGGCATGCTGGGAGTAGGAGGAGTTATCGAGGCATGCTGGGAGTAGGAGGAGTTTATCGAGGCATGCTGGGAGTAGGAGGAGTTATCGGGGCATGCTGGGAGTAGGAGGAGTTATCGAGGCATGCTGGGAGTAGGAGTTATCGAGGCATGCTGGGAGTAGGAGGAGTTATCGAGGCATACTGGGAGTAGGAGGAGTTATCGAGGCATGCTGGGAGTAGGAGGAGTTATCGAGGCATGCTGGGAGTAGGAGGGTTATCGAGGCATGCTGGGAGTAGGAGGAGTTATCGAGGCATGCTGGGAGTAGGAGGAGTTATCGAGGCATGCTGGGAGTAGGAGGGGTTATCGAGGCATGCTGGGAGTAGGAGGAGTTATCGGGGCATGCTGGGAGTAGGAGGAGTTATCGAGGCATGCTGGGAGTAAGAGGAGTTATCGAGACATGCTGGGAGTAGGAGGAGTTATCGAGGCATGCTGGGAGTAGGAGGAGTTATCGAGACATGCTGGGAGTAAGAGGAGTTATCGAGGCATGCTGGGAGTAGGAGGAGTTATCGAGGCATGCTGGGAGTAGGAGGAGTTATCGAGGCATGCTGGGAGTAGGAGGAGTTATCGGGGCATGCTGGGAGTAGGAGGAGTTATCGGGGCATGCTGGGAGTAGGAGGAGTTATTGAGGCATGCTGGGAGTAGGAGGGGTTATCGAGGCATGCTGGGAGTAGGAGGAGTTATCGGGGCATGCTGGGAGTAGGAGGAGTTATCGAGGCATGCTGGGAGTAGGAGGAGTTATCGAGGCATGCTGGGAGTAGGAGGAGTTATCGAGGCATGCTGGGAGTAGGAGGAGTTATCGAGGCATGCTGGGAGTAGGAGGAGTTATCGGGGCATGCTGGGAGTAGGAGGAGTTATCGGGGCATGCTGGGAGTAGGAGGAGTTATCGGGGCATGCTGGGAGTAGGAGGAGTTATTGAGGCATGCTGGGAGTAGGAGGGGTTATCGAGGCATGCTGGGAGTAGGAGGAGTTATCGGGGCATGCTGGGAGTAGGAGGAGTTATCGAGGCATGCTGGGAGTAGGAGGAGTTATCGAGGCATGCTGGGAGTAGGAGGAGTTATCGAGGCATGCTGGGAGTAGGAGGAGTTATCGAGGCATGCTGGGAGTAGGAGGAGTTATCGGGGCATGCTGGGAGTAGGAGGAGTTATCGAGGCATGCTGGGAGTAGGAGGAGTTATCGGGGCATGCTGGGAGTAGGAGGAGTTATCGAGGCATACTGGGAGTGGCTCAGTAACAGTAAATGGCTGTCTGGTGATCCGGCGATCTATCACGTCTGTCTGTTTCTGGACCCCATAATGAATTATCTGGGGGGGGGGGATACAGACACCTGTGTTATCGGTAGATGTGACCCCCGTCTTCTCTCCTCTCTGTGTATCATAAACAATTTCTCTTTTATTTTCTCAGCTTTTTCCTCCCGGGTCCCATCTCCGCGCTGCGGATCTCCTGCAGCCCCTTTGCAGCCACTTCCCGTCTCCATACACTCCAGCGATGGCATTTCTCAGGGCGGTGACAACCTCGGACCGTGTCTGTGAGATGAGCGGGAAAACAGTCACTTGTAGTCACCATCAGACAAGGGAGGAGAACAAATGGGAGGCGGAGACGCTGTCATCCTATCACAGGAAATGCCTAAAAAAAAAAAAGACAATCATGGCGGGATCTCCAGAGATCATTTTAACGGCAGATTTAACGAGATGGAAATCTCTGTTGCCACGACATCGACATTCCTATGCAATCTGAGCGATTTCACGCTGTGCTTGCTGGGTGATCGGCAGTGGAAAATCATCAGCTTTTGCTGCTTTCTGATTCAATCTCTGTCTCCAGTCAGGAGGATTCATGAGCTGCGGCTGATGGAAAGCAGCTGCTGTCAGGCTTTGTACCGCGGGATGGGACGAGGCCTCTTGGAGCGCAGTCAGCGATTGCATATCCTCGGCATTATTTGCATTCCTCAGGACGCGGGGCCCCGCCCCTCCCCCAGCAGAACTTTGGACGCAGCAGAAGATCCGGCGCAGTTCACGGCTGACTCTTCCCAAAGTCGGAGGCGCCATGGCTGAGTTCACCACCGCCGGCGAGTACGAGGCCAAGATGGACCCGCGCCTGTATCTGGAGTCCTACTTCCATCTGGGATCCGGGAGCCTGGCGGACGACTACCTGCGATTCGTCCTCGGGAAGATGCACGCCGTCTTCTCATCAGGTACGAGGTGGAACCGCGAGCGAGCGACCAATCACAATGCAGCTATCGGTGATCCGACAGCTGGCACCTGATACGCACTGCGCTGACCCAGCGACCAGGGACTGAGCGACCAATCACAATGCAGCTATCACCGATCCGACAGCTGACACCTGATACGCACTGCGCTGACCCAGCGACTGGGGACCGAGCGGCCAATCACAATGCAGCTATCGGCGATCCGACAGCTGGCACCTGATATGCGCTGCGCTGACCCAGCGACCGGGGACTGAGTGACCAATCACAATGCAGCTATCGGCGATCCGACAGCTGGCACCTGATATGCGCTGCGCTGACCCAGCGACCGGGGACTGAGCGACCAATCACAATGCAGCTATCACGATCCGACAGCCAGGCACCTGATACGCGCTGCGCTGACCCAGCGACCGGGACCTGATGAGCGGCCAATCACAATGCAGCTATTGGCGATCCGACAGCTGCACCTGATATGCGCTGCGCTGACCCAGCGACCGGGGACTGAGCGGCCAATCACAATGCAGCTATCGCCGATCCGACAGCTGGCACTGATACGCGCTGCAATGACCCAGCGACCGGGGACTGAGCGGCCAATCACAATGCAGCTATCGCATCCGACAGCCGGCACCTGATACGCACTGGCTGACCCAGCGACCGGGGACTGAGCGGCCAATCACAATGCAGCTATTGGCGATCCGACACCCAGCACCTGATATGCGCTGCGCTGACCCAGCGACTGGGGACTGAGCGGCCAATCAGATTTCATTTCTCTTCTAGTTAGACCAAGGGTGGGCAACATACGGGAAAAACGTGCCGCGATCGCAGAAAACACGCTCTGCGTTTTCAGGTGCCATTAAAATGAAGGTATCCTCTAACTCAGGGCAACTGTGGCCCACCAGCTGTTGGTGAACTACAAGTCCCATCATGCCTCTGCCTTTGGGAGTCATGCTTGTAACTGTCAGTTTTGCAATGCCTCATGGGACTTGTAGTTCTACAACAGCTGGAGGGCCACAGTTGCCCTGAGTTAGGGAATACCTTCATTTTAATGGCACCTGAAAACGCAGAGCGTGTTTTCTGCGATCGCGGCACGTTTTTCCGTGTGGGAAATGCGCCGCAAACAAAATCACAGGCCGCCCAAAAATGGTTCCAGAATCTTTATTGGGCGTCGTGCAATTTTGTTTGCGCAATCGCGGTGCATTTGCTCTGCGGAAAAAAAACCGCGCCGCGATCGCGCTGAAAACACCCTGCGTTTTCAGGTGTCGTTGAAATGAGCGGCAGCTGAGCGTTCACCACCCACAATATCATGGCGGCCGTTACAATGAGTTCGTTTGACGATAAGTAATACAAATTGCCACCAAGTAGAAAACAATGTATCATTTATTGATCCGGAAATATCTGCGATCCGTACAAATACAACGCAAACGGCGAGGAGAAGCCGCAGGGGGGGCTACATTCCTACATACAGGGGGACCAAGGCAGGGGGGGCTACATTCCTACATACAGTGGGACCAAGGCCGGGGGGCTACATTCCTACAGTGGGACCAAGGCAGGGGGGCTACATTCCTAGATACGGAAGGACCAAGGCAGGGGGGCTACATGCCTACATACAGTGGGACCAAGGCAGGGGGGCTACATTCCTACATACAGTGGGACCAAGGCGGGGGGGGGGCTACATTCCTAGATACGGAGGGACCAAGGCAGGGGGGCTACATTCCTAGATACAGGGGACCAAGGGACCAAGGCATGGGGGGCTACATTCCTAGATACGGAGGGACCAAGGCATGGGGGGCTACATTCCTACATACAGAGGGACAAAGGCAGGGGGGCTACATTCCTATATATGGGGGACAAAGGCAGGGTGGCTACATTCCTAGATACAGAGGGACCAAGGCATGTGGGGCTACATTCCTAGATATGGGGGACAAAGGCAGGGGGGCTACATTCCTATATATGGGGGACAAAGGCAGGGGGGCTACATTCCTAGATACGGAGGGACCAAGGCAGGGGGGCTACATTCCTAGATATGGGGGACCAAGGCAGGGGGGCTACATTCCTAGATATGGGGGACCAAGGCAGGGGGGCTACATTCCTAGATATGGGGACCAAGGCAGGGGGGCTACATTCCTAGATACGGAGGGACCAAGGCAGGGGGGCTACATTCCTACATACGGAGGGACCAAGGCAGGGGGGCTACGTTCCTAGATACGGAGGGACCAAGGCGGGGGGGGGCTACGTTACTAGATACGGAGGGACCAAGGCGGGGGGGGGCTACATTCCTACATACAGGGGAACCAATGCAGGGGGGCTACATTCCTAGATACGGAGGGGACCAAGGCGGGGGGGCTACATTCCTAGATATGGAGTGACCAAGGCGGGGGGGCTACATTCCTAGATATGGAGGGACCAAGGCAGGGGGGGCTACATTCCTTGATACAGAGGGACCAAGGCAGCGGGGCTACATTCCTAGATATGGAGGGACCAAGGCAGGGGGGCTACATTCCTAGATACGGAGGGACCAAGGCGGGGGGGGGGCTACGTTACTAGATACGGAGGGACCAAGGCGGGGGGGCTACATTCCTACATACAGGGGAACCAATGCAAGGGGGCTACATTCCTAGATACGGAGGGACCAAGGCGGGGGGGCTACATTCCTAGATATGGAGGGACCAAGGCGGGGGGGCTACATTCCTAGATATGGAGGGACCAAGGCAGGGGGGCTACATTCCTACATACAGTAGGACCAAGGCAGGGGGGCTACATTCCTAGATACGGAGGGACCAAGGCGGGGGGGGCTACATTCCTAGATATGGAGGGACCAAGGCAGGGGGGCTACATTCCTACATACAGTAGGACCAAGGCAGGGGGGCTACATTCCTAGATACGGGGGGACCATGGAGGATGACTGTAGCCCCCATCTTTCTGAGTTAAGATTACAGACTGGAATAGAATTATAGAGTTCAGACTGACAACCTTTTCCTCAGAATCGGCCCTTCTGGGGGTGTGGCCATCCCGAGATCCCATCCAGTCAGCACTGTGCAGTTGTCGGACATTGATGGGGGGCGGTAACCATCTCGCATTGTCCTCCACAGGTGCGGTGAAAGGCGACACCCTCATTGACGTTGGCTCCGCCCCGTCCATCTACCAGCTCCTCTCCTCCTGCGAAGCCTTCGAGAAGATTATCGCCACGTGGTTCACGCAGAGCGAGCTGCACCAGCTGCAGAAATGGCAGAACAAAGAGGCCGACGCGTTTGATTGGTCGTCCATCCTGAAACACGTCTGCGGTCTGGAGGGAAACAAGTGAGTATGTTATGTTCAGCAATACGAGGGAATGATTTCCAGGGTCAGAGAATGAGCAGACCACACCTCCATGATTGACAGGACTGAAATCCAATGAAAAGAAGGGGCAGGCTGGGGGGGAAAGAGCTAGATGACGCTGGACGTCCTCCAGGAAATGAGGCGGAGCTCTGTCTGAATTCTGCAGCTTCTAATGCACATTGTGAGCAGCTCTCAGTGTGCGGTGAGCTCAGAGGAAGCCGTTTCCATCGAAAATTAAAATAATGAATGTGAATCTGTTGCAGAGCGACCCCCCAGGAGAAGGAAGAGAAGCTGAGGGGGAAAATCGAGAAGGTTTTGCACTGTGACGTCAGCAGGAGCAACCCCCTGGCACCGATCGACGCTCCCAAAGCCGATTGCGTCACCGCCGTCGTTTGCCTGGAAGCGGCCTGCAGGAACTTCGAGACCTACGGCCTGGCCCTCAGGCACCTGTCCCACCTCCTCAAACCCAACGGGCACCTGCTGCTGGCGGGGGACCTGGGCGCCAATTACTACGAGGTCGGCGCCGAAAAGGTCTTCTCGCTGCCCGTGAGCGAGACGTTCCTGAGAGAAGCGCTTCCCGGAAACGGCTATCGCATCGTAGAGCTGGCCACCTTCGGGAAGCCCGACGACGCCGACCCCAACGCTTCCGACTACGAGGGCTTCTACTTCGCCCACGCCCAAAAAAAAGTGTAGCTGGGAGGGCTAACCGGGGAGGCTTGGGGCGGAGCCTTCGTGACCGTGCCGTGTGGGTGCGTACATTTCACGCGTCGCGAGTTCCCGACTTCTTATGAGCTGAGGGACATTTACATACTCTATAGTCAATTTGGTAAAATTTCAAGATGGCCGGCGTCACACTGTAGGTGAGGTGGTGCGGGCTGTGCTCTCTCCTCCCCTCCTCCTGCCTGCTAGCGCAGCTCCTGTGTGGCTGTGAACACCGCCACCTGCTTGTTAATACAGGAGAGCAGGGGCAGATTGACCATTCAGGAACTCGGGCAGTGCTTGAGGACCCAGGGTCAGTAGGGGGCCCCATCCCATGACCTTTCATAGGCTTTTTTGGGTGTGGTTTGAGTGTGGGCGAGGATACAGGGGCCCCATGATCCCCTATTACCCGGGGGCCCTATGAGTTGTTAGTCCACCCCTGCAGGAGCACTGCACTGGCAGGAAAGAGGAGGGGGAGTGAGAACACAGCCTGCACTGCTAGTTCCAGACTTCCTACAAGCTGAGGGAGATTTACATACTCTATTGTAAATTTGGTAAAATTTCAAGATGTCGGGCGTCACACTGTAGGTGAGATGGTGCGGGCTGTGCTCTTTCCTCCCCTCCTCCTGCCTGCTAGTGCAGCTCCTGTGTGCCTGTGATCACCGCCACCTGCTTGTATAGTACAGGAGCGCTGCACTGGCAGGAAAGAGGAGAGGGAGAACACAGCCTGCACCGCGTCTCGGCTCTCTCCTCCCCTCCTCCTGCCTGCTAGTGCAGCTCCTGTGTGCCTGTGATCACCGCCATCTGCTGGTTAATACAGGAGAGCTGCACTGGCAGGAAAGAGGAGGGGGAGGGAGAACACAGCCCGCACCGCGTCTCGGCTCTCTCCTCCCCTCCTCCTGCCTGCTAGTGCAGCTCCTGTGTGCCTGTGATCACCGCCATCTGCTGGTTAATACAGGAGAGCTGCACTGGCAGGAAAAGGGGGGGGGAGGGAGAACACAGCCCGCACCGCGTCTCGGCTCTCTCCTCCCCTCCTCCTGCCTGCTAGTGCAGCTCCTGTGTGCCTGTGATCGCCGCCATCTGCTGGTTAATACAGGAGAGCTGCACTGGCAGGAAAGAGGAGGGGGAGGGAGAACACAGCCTTCACCGCGTCTCGTACCTCTCTCTTCCTCCTGCCTGCTGAGGGAGCTCACTGTACTCTGTGATAACCGCCATCTGCTGGTTTCAGGAAGATGCTGCACTGGCAGCAAAGAGGAGGGGGAAGTTAAAAATCCCGCACCGCGGGCTCCGGTTCTCACCCCTATAGAAACGCAGCCTGTGCAGTCTGGATGCGTTTTGATGTTTGCCATGCGTTCCTGGTTAATACAGGAGAGCTGCATTGGCAGGAAAGAGGAGGGGGTGGGAGAACACAGCCTGCGCCTCTAGTACCTGACTTCCTATCAGCTGAGGGAGATTCACATACTCTATAGTAAATTGGTTTTTTCAAGATGCCCAGCGGAAGTTAAAAATCTTTTAGGGCCGGTTTTCACTATTTAAACGCAGCCTGGATGCGTTCTGGATGCGTTTTTGTTTGTGCGTTCCAGATGCATTTTTTCCTCGCATTGCAATTTCAATAGGGTCGTGTGCGCGTTCCGGTGCATTTTTGTTTGTGCATTTTTGACGCATTCTAGTGCGTTTTTGGTGCGTTCCAGTTAATTTTTTCCTCTCTTTTCAGTTTTAAATATGGACATGTGCATTCCTGTGCGTTTTTTGATGCGTTTTTTTGACGCATCCCAGTGCATTTTTTCCTCTCTTTTCAATTTAAATAAGGACATGTGCGTTCCGGTGCGTTTTTGCATGCGCGTTTTTTGACGCATCCCAGTTCATTTTTTCCTCTCTTTTCAGTTTTAATACGGACATGTGCATTCCAGTGCGTTTTTGCTTGCATGTTTTTGTCGTGTTCCAGTGCTTTTTGGTGCATTCCAGTGCATTTTTGCTTAATCATTTTTGACGCGTTCCAGTGCGTTTTTAGTGCGTTACAGTTCATTTTTTCCTCTTTTTCAATTTAAAAAGGGACATGTGTGTTCCGGTGCGTTTTTGGTGCGTTTCACCGCGTTCCAGTGCCGTTCTGTGCAGGAAAAATGCGGCTTGTTCTACTCTTTTTTTTTTTTCTGCAACCGGAATGCACCAGAACTGCCAGCGCTGATGAGAACTATGACACCGACCGCCATATCACCGACTTTCTGTGCGTTTTGGATGCAGAAAAAAACACAACTGAAACGCATGGAGTGTGAACCGGCCCTGAATGTAATTTTAAAAGCCTTGACCGCCTATGTATGGCTCTGGCGGTGATCAGCCATGACTGTGCCGTGCCGGCAGTGAAGGGACGAGGTCCTATAGAGTGCCAGATGCAAAGATCCAAGTGTGATTCCCGACCCTCCCTTCCAGGTCCATGAACTCCTTCAGCAGCAGAGGTGGCAGGTCCTGCCCTTTATTATGAAGCGCCCGAGGCAGCTGCCTGGTCTGCCTACCCCTCAGCCCACAATCTATCATGGCGTGACCCCACCCCCCGCGCCCCACATGTCTGAGTCCCTCTGTGTCTCTTTGTATGACCAGTGAACACACGTCTGTATTAATAAAGGAGAATCATTTGCACCCGTGTCTTTGTTTTCTTTCTCCAACTCTGGAAGAGGCTCAGCAAACTAAGGCGGTCGCATTCCTTCTCTGCGTTGTCAGGAGTTATGTGGCGGCTCTGGATTCATGAAAGCGATAATAAACCCGAAACCAAGAATGGAGCATAATGCAGCTTACCAGTCCTTAGATGTGGCGGCTGCATTCCTTTTCTTTTTTTTTTCCTCCTCTGTTTTCACCTGGTGGTCCGGCCAGTAACACACCTCCCGTATATTAGAGCCCCCCACTCTGGAGGAAGGAGCACAGGGGGCAATCATTCGATGTGGCGGCTGCATTCATTTTCTTTTTTTTCTTTGCCCCCCCCTCCGTTTTTAAGTGGTGATCTGGCCAGTAACACACTTCCCATATTAGAGCGCCCCCACTCTGGAGGAAGGAGCACGGGGGGCAATCATTCGATGTGGCAGCTGCATTCGTTTTCCTCCCCCCCCTCTGTTTTCACCTGGTGATCTGGCCAGTAACACACCTCCCGTATTAGAGCGCCCCCACTCTGGAGGAAGGAGCACAGGGGGCAATCATTCGATGTGGCGGGCTGCATTCATTTTCTTTTTTTTCTTTGCCCCCCCCTCCGTTTTTAAGTGGTGATCTGGCCAGTAACACACTTCCCATATTAGAGCGCCCCCACTCTGGAGGAAGGAGCACGGGGGGCAATCATTCGATGTGGCAGCTGCATTCGTTTTCTTCCCCCCCCCCCTCTGTTTTCACCTGGTGATCTGGCCAGTAACACACATCCTGTATTAGAGCGCCCCCACTCTGGAGGAAGGAGCACGGGGGGCAATCATTCGATGTGGCAGCTGCATTCGTTTTCTTCCCCCCCCCCCTCTGTTTTCACCTGGTGATCTGGCCAGTAACACACATCCTGTATTAGAGCGCCCCCACTCTGGAGGAAGGAGCACAGGGGGCAATCATTCGATGTGGCGGCTGCATTCATTTTCTTTTTTTTCTTTGCCCCCCCCCCCCGTTTTTAAGTGGTGATCTGGCCAGTAACACACTTCCCATATTAGAGCGCCCCCACTCTGGAGGAAGGAGCACGGGGGGGAATCATCATCGATGTGGCAGCTGCATTCGTTTTCTTCCCCCCCCCCCCTCTGTTTTCACCTGGTGATCTGGCCAGTAACACACATCCCGTATTAGAACGCCCCCACTCTGGAGGAAGGAGCACAGGGGGAAATCATTCGATGTGGCAGCTGCATTCGTTTTCCTCCCCCCCCCCCCCTCTGTTTTCACCTGGTGATCTGGCCAGTAACACACATCCTGTATTAGAACGCCCCCACTCTGCAGGAAGGAGCACAGGGGGGAAATCATTCGATGTGGCAGCTGCATTCGTTTTCTTCCCCCCCCCCCCTCTGTTTTCACCTGGTGATCTGGCCAGTAACACACATCCTGTATTAGAACGCCCCCACTCTGGCAGGAAGGAGCACGGGGGGGCAATCATTCGATGTGGCAGTTGAATTTGTTTTCTTTTAATTTTTTGGGCTATAAACAAAACACCGATAATTTTGAAAAAAAAAAAATATATTTTTTTTTTACTTTTTGCTATAAAACATATCCAGTAAAAAAATTTAAAAAAATCTAATTTCGTCATAAATTTCGGCACCCAAATTACATTTACATCCTTTTTTTTTCCCACAAATTGAACTTTCTTTCGGCGGTATTTGATCCTCTGTGCGTTTTTAATTTTTTTGGGCTATAAACAAAAAAGACCGACAATTTTGAAAAACAAAAAAATATATATTTTTGACTTTTTGGTATAAAAAAACGTCCAGTATAAAAAAATGTAAAAAATCTAATTTCGTCATAAATTTCTGCCAAAATGTATTCCGCTAAAAAAAAAATCGTGTAAATGAATTGGTTTACGTGACAGTGATAGCGTCTACAAATGGCGGGATAGATATGGGGATTTTTTTTTTTTTCTACTGGTAATGGCGGCGATCAGCGACTTGTAGCGAGACTGCGGCGGGCATTCTGACACTCGGGGGGGGGACTGACTTGGTGTCACTGACATCCCCAGTGACACCATTAGAGTGATCAGTGCTGATAAAAAAGCACTGACACTGTACTAATGGCACCGGGCAGGAAGGGGTTAACATGAGGGGCGATCAAAGGGTTAACTGTGTGCTGGGCGTGTTTTACTAGGGTCTGCGTGTTTCACTGTACGCATGCTGGTATGCAGAGCCATACAAAGCAGTGTGCAGGAGCTGACAGGGGAGAGATCTGTGCTGTTCATACACAGGTCTCTCTCCTGTCAGAGGTACTCGGTGATCACAGGTGCCGGCGGGTGATTGACAGCCGAGGCCGCGAATGGTGGCGCGGGTAGGGCGCTCGTG